TGGAAATTCCTATAATGGGCACTGACTTATAGGATGTTAGCCTGTTTAGTGCACAATTGGCTTGGTTTTCCGGATAATCTGAATCATAGAAGCTGAGAAACTTATTCGGCAATGTGTCGCCAAAAATATTAGGTCGTTCCGAAAGTTCTTTGTTTTTTTTTCAACCTATCATAAAAACATATGGAATGAAGGCACACGAAAGCTCTCAGACGCAGTTTTTCTTCCTCTTTCAACCAGTCATGTTAAGGGACCATTTATTTGGTTATTTCTAAGATACTTGCCGAAATTTCAAAACCATGGTTTTTACCATGTCCAAATTTGGCAATTTTTCAAAATCTTCACTTTCAACTTTTGGAAAAACTTCAGCAGCTAATTAGCGTAAACAAAGTGCAAAGCAGCGATATTTTTTGACGCCTATAGCTGGCTTTACAAATTTTATTTCTGATGCTATCGAATTCCACTCTTGATCATCTCAAAACCACAGAACATTAAACAAAGCACAACTAAAGTGTCAATTTATGCAACTTTTTCTCCCCTTTCTGATATTCCTTTTTGCTTCGAAATCAGTGGAGTATTTGGGGATAAGATTACCATAATTCCTGATAAACCTGCCTCATGCTGTTCCCGTAGATTGCGAGATCTGATATTTCGCAGCAAGCTTATGCCTATGGTGCTTTGTAAAGTTGATGTGTTATCATAATCGATCTTTGCAAGTTTCAGATTTGGACGATGTGTTAGAGTTTGAAGCATTTGTGTATCTTGCGACTTCGCAGAAACGAAGAACTTTGATAAAAGTCCTAAAAAGTACTAACAATGAGATGCTGATTGAAGATGCGAGAAAACTGAATCACATTCCACTTTGTTTACGCTATCCAACTGCTATCCAAAAATTCAAAATAAAGATTTTGAAAAACTGCCAAACTTGGACGTGGTAAAAACCATGGGTTCGAAATTTTGGCAGTTATCTCAAAAACTACCAAAGCAAGCAACTGGTTCCAAAACATGAATGATGGAAAGAGGAAGAAAACCGGTCTGATAGTGCTTAGGGCATTTGCCTGCCTTTAGTCTATGTGTTTTTATGACAGTTTTAAGAAACGGAAAGATTTGGAACGACCTAATACATTGAGCTTTTTCGTGAGAAATACAGAAAAGTTATCGAAGCGATTACAAAGATATGAAAATAGGAGGCAGACGGTTCATAATTTTGAAGAGTAATATAGTGTTGGCCAAAGTCATAGATCCATTCTGAAAATTGCTGTAGCTCATCTGCATCATAACGAATTGACTTGAAATTTGGCACAGCAGTGTGGGCAGGCTATCATCAGTAACCGCAACGGAGCCCGTTTTCGTGTGATTATTCAGGAAAAAATTAATTTTTGGAAAAAGCAGGCTTGAGGACTGGTCAAAACTATAGTTCCACCTGAAGTTTTTGTCCATTAAAGTAATTCTCGGTTTCAAAAGTCTTTGTGCATATGCATTAATCAAAAGTTGAAACAGTCACTTTAGTTCAGCTGCGTCATACTTTTATAAAAGACTCTTATCTGCTTTTTTGACTGAAAAATACTTTCATGTGTATTTTATTCCCAAGAATTCTTTTTATGGGTGATTCCTCAGTTTTTTGACTGGTTCAGAAGCGATGGGCTCTCCATCTATCTTATGGATGCTTAGCGAAGTGAGCACTAGAAAGAAAATTAAGCCTTCATATTCAAAAGGCACCCGACATAGACCTAACCGCTGGTTTACGCTCAAATTCGCCTTCAGAATTGGTTCGTGTTGTTTCTGTAAGCTCAAAATAATGTAGAAGCATTATATACATAAAAAGAAGTTTGCACACTATACTCACGATTGTTCGCCAAGTCACATATTGCTTCGTTTTCAAAGCTTAAGTCTCGCGGTTCAATGATAATGTGAGGCAATACCAAAATACTTACCAAGCAGCGGCGTACCGAGGAGGGGGGGGGGTGCGGGGGGGGGCGACCCATTCTCGGGGGCGCCCCCCACCGAGAATGGGTCGATTTTTGACAAAAACTTTAAGAAGCACCCCTAAAAATTTTTCGGAGTGCGTGGCTAACGCCACGCACCTTCGTTCGAAAAAAATTTTTGCCGCCCCCCCCCCCCCCCGAGCGGAAATCCTGGGTACGCCACTGTTACCAAGTGGTACCTTCTCTGATTTTTTTGCCATTATTCAGCTACTAGATAGTGAAAGCACCCTGCATTGTATCCTTGTGACTCACATAAGCATTATGGTCAGAACCAAAAATAGTTTCAAGGCTTACTGCACATCAGTTATCTCAGAATGAATTCCTCAATTAGCCTGCATAGTAGGACCTGCAGAAATCTGCAACCGCTGCATAGAGACTCTCATACGTACAAGCAGATGTTATGACTGCACTTCACGCTCATGAGAACATTGCAGAAAGGGTTTGAAAGCATAAATGTTAGCGCAGGCCTGCCATTAGGTCTATGTCGGGTGCGCTTTAAATATGAAAGCTCAAATTTTTTTCTAGTGTTCACTTCGCTAAGCATCTCTAAGGGCCGCATGCACTAACATGACCGCCGGGAGGGGATCGCAGCTTAAAAGAAAGCTTCATATTTCGAAACTACAGATACTTGGATTTCACGTTGTGTACCTATCCGTAAGTATTCCTACTATCCTTCACTATGAACATGTTGAACAGGAGCGAGAAGCCATACGAACCGCATTATCCAGCTTTTGTATGATCCCTGATGATCCCCGGCGCTTTTCTTTGAAGTCATTTTTCTTTCCGAAGTTAACGAAAAACTTTTGAAGTTGTGCAGATTATCTAACCCAACAGTGCTAAGCATGTTGCTGATAAGAACAAATGATGTTTTAAAGTCATGAAATTTTCGATGATCCACAGGTCGAAATTTGGGGTATACCGAAAAATTCGACTTTTCAAAAATTCATTTGTTCTCATCAGCAACATGCTTAGCACTGTTGTGTTAGATGTTCAGTATAATTTTGGTTTTCGTTAACTTCGGAGGAAGAAAAATGACTTTGAAGGATAGATGTTCGTCCCCCCGGGAATCATCAGGGGAGGGATCCTACAAAAAGCTGGGAAATGCGGCTTGTACAGCTTCTCGCTTCTGCTCAATATGTTCATAGTGAAGGATGGTGGGAGTACTTACGGACAGGTAGAAAGCGTGAAATCCAGATAATCGGGGCTTCAGGATATGAAGCTTTTCTGAAGCTGCGATCCCCTCCCCAGCGGAAATGTTAGTGCATGCGGCCCTAAGATAGATGGAGAGCCCTATCGCTTCCAAGCACTTTGAAAAACTGCGGAATCACCCATAAAAACAAGTTCTTGGGAACAAAATACGCATGAAGTTTTTTTAAGTGAAAAAAAGCAGACAAGCTCTTAGAAAGGCATGACATAGCTAGACTAAAGACTGTTTTGACTTTCTTTGTATATACTTTGGAAGCTGAGAATTACTTTAGTGGACAGAAACTTTAGGTGGATCTATATTTTGGCCGGCTTTCAAGCCTGCTTTTTCCGAATTTTTTTTGATTTTTCCTGATTAATCAAACGAAAGCCGTTCTGGTTACTGATGATAGCCTCATAAACGCACAGTCGTACCACATTTCAAATCAATTCGTGAGAAGCAGATGAGCTGCGGGAGTTTTCAGGGTGGATCTATAGTTTTGGCGGCAGTGTATTGTATTCGTAATCAGCATGCTCGATCACCCCCTCCCCTGTGCCAACTCCCAGCCTCTAGGTCGAATTTTGCAAAGAAATCGATAAAATCGATAAAGTAGATGATAATCTTACAAGGTAATATAGTATTCGTAACAAGCTCGATTACCCCCTGTGCCAAATCCCAGTCTCTAGGTCGAACTTTGCAAAGAAATCGTTGAGTAGCTGATAATCTTACAAGCTAATATAGCATAACAAACGTAACATACAGATAGACATGCAGACAGCATTCAGGTTTATACTATATATGAGACGACACCTATTCCATTAGCTTCTCCATGTAAGATTGGTAGTCTTGGGAGGAAGCTCTGTACAGAAGAATCCTATGTAGAATCTTGACAAAGCGACAAACAGTTACAATACTCTTCGCTAGAAACTGAGAGATTGATTTTGAACCCACGCATGCAGTTATTGGTTATAAGTCGTGGATTGAATATAGCGACTAATTCTTGTTGCTGAAGAGTAACAAAAAAACCCCAACGATATCTAAGCCACTAGATTATTCAAGTTATACTATTAGGTTGGCTCGAAAGTTCTTGGACATTGCGTTTAGGCAAAGCTTTTGTTTTAATGTAAGCTCAGGTTGGGGCATGCTGCATACCATTGGATAGTGGAAAGCATTCTCTACAAAACTCTGGTAAGCATAAACATTATCAATCTTTTCTATGAAAATCCAGGCGAAAATTCCAAAGCATAGAATTTTGACCTAACTCGGATCTCCAACTTATGTAAACGTTATGAAACCCCCAAATGCTCTAATTTATAGTACGAACATACTTACATGCAAAGTTTGTACGAAATTTGAACTTGAACAACAAGAAAAACGAGGTAAATGAAAAATGGCAAACTCCGCCCATTGGCCCTGGGCTCCTCCCACTTGCTTGTTTATCACCTACAGGAAGAGGGAGCACATCTGCAAATTTTCAAGGATGTACATGCATTAGATTTCGAGAAATAGCAAACTCAGTCTGCTGTCCCAGAACTTTCGAGCCAACCTAATAATAGTCGAATATTCGGAAAGACACCATAAATCAAGTACTCGAATATTCGAAGATTCGACTGGATTCGAATTGCTTGAAAATCGCAGATCGAACAATATTCTCTCGTTCGCATTTTTTTTCGAATGTCGATTATTTAATAATTGTTCGTTCGACAAAATTATGTCTTGCACCTCTACGAGGGAGGCTATTGGCTGAGGATCTTCTTTGTACTGCCTGAATTTGTTCGCATCAAGTTCCTGCGATAATCTTTTCCTTGTTGATAAATTTGTGATTATCCGTAATGACCTCCAATCCTTTATTCCTCATACAAGTTCACTGTAATTAAGATCAATCTCCTTTACTCCGCATGGTCCATTGATATCTCCCGCATATTGGTGAATGTAAAAATTTGACCATCCCCCAAAGGGAGTGAATGCGCCCTTCTGAAAAAATCGCTATGGGTGATGACCGAGTGACGGTAAATCAAAATCAACTTACCCGTGTCCCATCGTTCATTCCCCAATGGGCCCACCAGAGTTTTTTATGTTTCCACTGATCATATTCTAAGCCAACGATATTCTCCCAGTTATTTTCATTTGTGTAGATCCCCCAGTCGACACCCATTTCCTGAAGTTGTCGAAAAAGCTCTCAGAATGCATTTTTGTAATAATCATTTGTAAGAATTGTAGTTGAACCCTCAGAAACATGTTTGAGTATCTAAATTACTGAGTTACAAACTAAATCTCAAACTAAGTCTAAATTACAAATTTGTTGAAGCGATTCAGATTAGAGTAATCAAATGTTTGTTCAGTAGGGCAGCCGGATGATCAAATATTTTTTATTGACGCAAATTCAGAGCAGCTAACATGAGAATGCCTGCTTAACAAAAGAGGCAAAAAGACACTTACGAATATCAAAGCTGCCTAACCTAATATAACCTGGGTGAGATGAGGTGAGATGGCCATTGCATGTGGAAAAAAATACACACTTACGTCTAATTTGTTGCCCATAGCATTGATGCAGTGGCGTACCCAGGATTTCGGCTCGGGGGGGGCGCGACAAAAATTTTTTTCTAAAGAAGATGCGTGACGTTAGCCACGCACTCCGAAAAAATTTTTGGGGTGGTTCTCAGAACTTTTGCGGGTCTCCGACCCCTAAAATCTGGAAAAAGGGGGCGTGGCGTCAGCCACGCCCCCGAAAAAAAATTTTTTACAAAGCTAATTTGAATTTTTAAAAATTTTTAAAAATTATTTTAATTATTTACAAAAATAAACAAGTCACTTGCACATTTTTATAACCCATATAAGTAACTTTCAAAAATTTCGCGAACCATTCTCGGGGGGGGCGCGCGCCCCCCCCCGCCCCCCCCCCTCGGTACGCCACTGCATTGATGGTATTTCGGTTGGCTGCGTGATCACTTGGCCAGCGGAATATTTCTATATCCAGATATACCGTATCAAAGGGAACACCCTCTGCTCTCAAGCGATTTATTGTAGCCTCAACCTGCAAATTTCAGCTTGAGTCTATCAAAGACAGAAGTGTGGAAATAGATAGGATCAAATCCAGCATGCAAGATAGGACTGCCAGATATGGAGAGTTGAGAATTTTTACATACCTGATTTTGCGGAGGCGCATTATGGGGTTCCAAGCCGGGAAAAATGTAGGCGCTGACTTTGAAACCAGCTGAAAACATGCAGTTTTTTCATCCTGTTCAGAGTAAGTAAAAAGTGAAAGAGAGATTTGAATTAGCTTGGCACAAACAGATTGTTGAGATACCTTCATGAGCATTCTTCATGGTCTGCATGCCCTCTATATCGTAATTTCCCGTACTTTTCCATACCCTACCGATGTAGAATGTGAAACCATTGTCTTTCAAGCAGCGAAAATCGTCCGTGGATAACTTCTGAAAGCTTATCACATCTGAACATGTACATTTCACTGCTTGGTAAGCAAAACACGTCATATTAGAATAGACATCTGGATTACACTAGCAACCGACATCGTTTAAATTGGAGAGTGAAGTAAAAAAAAAACGTCGACGTGCTAGGCCAGGACCATTCTGTAGCTTCAATTACTTATATTAAGAGGTTGTCCACGGCGGTATGTGGAATCTAATAACAAAATGTGCAAGTGCGCTTTTCTTCAACAGACTATCTTCAGGGTTAGACAGGCATCGGATAATGCGCATTGCTGACTCTCCATGCCACCGCGAAATTCTTAACCAGTTTTTGCAAACGTGTTGACTAGCATTCTAATTATTTGCAGACAGACTGCTGCTTCATCGACGAAGGAAGAAACCAACTTCGACTATCGCCGCGTGGTATAGCGCTATGAACAATGATCGGAAATTGTAGATTTTTTCCACTCCGCTCGCAGAACGTTGGAGAACTGAAGATGCGCTTTTACAATGCTCCCGTTGATCTTTTTCTTGCTCTAATTTATTACATACTGCAATTGCAGCCTTTATTTTCTTGAATAAGGAAACAACGAACGGTCTTGCAAGAACTCGTGGTCAGTTTCACAAAATTTTTATAGCGCAGTTCGAAAAAACAAGAGTGGTTTGGTCGAATCTATCATTTAACTAACAAGGAGAGGATACTTAGTCGAAATCACCAATCTAGATAAGACATATATCATCTTAAAGCGCTTGAAAAGCTGATTCCAAATCTGCAGTTCCTAGCTGCGGAGCGGTTTTGTAGAAGGAGTAATGAAGTGTGTTCCCCTCTGGGGTTTAGGCGCCCTCCAGCGGTCTCCCCTTATCTGTAAGCACTGTAGAGGAGCATCAGCTGATGGCAACTGACCTAATGGTAAGTAATTTGAATGAAGATTACAATAGAGATTATAATACTTATATTACTTTTGGTTTTTTTTTAAACTTCTAACTTCGATTAGTATCAATATCATCAGAATTTCATGCTTTAGGGCTCTAAAGCCATTTAGAAGTTCACTTTAGCATGCGAAGGGGATTAAAACCTTGACACTCTCTTTATCAGGCACGTCACTCCTCACTAGGTCAGCTACCACCAGTGTACTCCTCTACAGTGCTCATAGGTAGAGGGAGACCTGGTGGAGGGCGCCTCAACCCCAGAGGAGACACCCCTCATAACTCCCTCTACAAAACAGCTCCGCAGCTAGAAACTGCAGATTTGGAATCAGCTTATTTCTCATCCGAATTGGTGCTTTCGACTAAGTATCCTCTCCTTGTAAGTTTCCGTGAAACAAAGTAACTAGGGTGCTTCAAATCATCTTTGGTATGAAACCACGAAGTAACACTCTTGCAAAGGAATGTTACTGGTTATTCCTCAAAGCACCCATACACCAAACTCCTCAATAACACATAGCCGAATAAAGTTTCTACCGATAGCTGAGATTCAATCTCATTCGAAAAAAGCTTAGTTTAGTCAAGATTTTAGGATTTAATTGTGTGTATCGAATTTCATCGTTTGAGCATTTGTTACAAAAAGGAGTCGTTGAAAAGATATTGCAGATTTGTGTATGGATGCTGCGCCTCGTAGGCGCCAAAGAAATCTCGACTATAACCGCAATGATCCTTGCGAAGATTTTGCGAGTAATGGAGCGTTCATACGCTTCCGTTTTCGGTTCAGAGAAAGGGAACTATTTTAGCTCACAATACTCCTGCCATCGAAGCCTAATGATCTTGGAGCAGGAGATCATGGGCTGTCTCCAAAAAGCAACAGGTAGGGCCTATTAAGACATTTACCATGGCAAACCTTTCGCTACACTTTATTGTGTAGAGCTCATTTGGGTGAAGATCGGAGTCGGATACCTCACCACAAGTGCTCAAATGCCACAAACGCCACAAATGCGTATATTGTCTCACACATACTACTGGCTCCCAGATTTGTAAAGAGGCGGTATTGGGGACTTTGACAAAGTTGATGCATTTGTTGAACTTCCGCGCTCATACTGCTTGAATTTTTCGTCGTCAAAATCTGCAACGGTTTAGCTGCCTGTCTCCGCACCCAACGATTCTGGGTGTTGAGCGTAACTCCAGTAGGTATAACCCACGATATGATGCGTTCATTTAGCGTTAACAACGGAAGAGAATGAATTTTGACTTCACTGGGGTCCATTACGCGTGAACGTAAACGGTCAAACTGACACATCATTGTTTCAAACAAAAAAGTGGCCAGGGTACTTTTTCATTTTGAACAATGATCGAGTGGTCTGTCTGTGAGTAAAGTGAAGTGCTATTTCTAGTACGCTAAATGATAACAAAACAATGAAACCCGTTGGATATTTCGTGGTTTGGTTCAAATTGAAACAATCATGGAATAAGCACGGTAGTCTATTGCTTACTTGTTTGTTCCATGATGTACGACCGATTGAACTGAGTGGCCGAGAGAAGATGATCACAGTTACCACTATGTAAGCATTAGTGAACAATAACACATTTTATAATGGTTGCGACAAAATTACTACCATTCTAGTAATTTTGTTTCCTATGCCAGTCTACCTCTGCGAATGTCTGAGAAGCGGCCTTCCAGAACTACTAGCCGCTCTAGTAAAATTTGTAGTGAAAAGAGCATTTTATCACCTGTATAGTATCCAGTCCTTTGAAAGCGACCATGGTGCGGAATAAAGCCGTTAGAAACGACCTGAAAATGCACGCATGTATTCGAGCTATGGCCAAGCATCTATATAAGGTGTTTACTTTTTGTAGAAGAGAAAGGGATAACATGAGAATGGTATGTGACAAATGTACCAATATATGACTTTGCACAGAGAGAAAGGACGATGGTGACTCATTGGTGGTCTATATTACAGCTTGCTAGACGTGATTAGGAATGATAAACAGTCGAGACAGATACATGACCATTTTCCCCAGCTGGGAGAAAACTCGTGCTGATTGAATGCTTTTCGAATGATTTCCAACATTTTCTAGATTTCTGTATCCGTTCTGAATATGTATTTGAAAAAAGAAATGATAGATGCCTATATAAATGTAGATAGACACTTAGTCAACAGATAAGCATTAGGTTGAATAATTATATCGGGTGTCCCAAAAGTATACACACTGATTGATTGTCGAGTATCTCTTCCTTGTGCTTAGTGTTTATTGTACATATGTTGATGTGCTCTTGAAAAACTATGAGGCGCTGCCATAGAACCTATATGGTAACCTGTGTTAAAACACACGAGGAGGAGGTACAATTTAGTGTAGTAAGTTGGGCTTTAAGACAGGCGGTTGTTCTGGGTCTTGTGATTTTGAGAAAAAGGGACTTCCAATTGAGCCACTATTCAAGAAAGAAAGAATAATGAGTTGCACGCCGATCGTGAAGAGTTGTACATCACCTAGCGTAGCTAATTTTCAAATCTACCTTTTTTATCTACTGAACACCTTAAGAAAAGTTACATATGAACCGCTCATGTACTTTTAAGATCAACTTAGGGGAACAAGGGTGAAGTGATGTTGAGTATACCAACAACAAGAGAAAAGTACATTCACCAGGGAACCAAGAGAAGTTGCTATCAAAATTCAGACTTTGACCAGCATAAGTTAATATAGAGTTTCGCTCGGATACGGAACGTTGAATAGAGTAAACTCAAATATTTTTACTGGCTCATTCCGCCTTCTCCGTAACGTATACGCAGGAGACAGGAACGCCAGAACCAAGGGGGGGGGGGATATGCTCGGAGCATCGCATCTACTTTTGGGGTGGATACAATGCTAGCAATGTTCCGCCTCCTTTTGTTGTCGAAAATACTGTTTGCTCTTTGACTCGTAAGAAGGGAGGAGACGGATGATATGTTCGGCTTTCTAGAACTTCCAAAGTTAAAGTGCTGAAAATTTATTCATTGAAGAAACAAGAAACGTTTTAAAAATTATAGTCGTTGCCAGACGGTTGCCTACAACGGTTTGCGATACTTTTCGGTGGGATTGCTGAGCTTAACCAAGATTGGGATGATAACTTTTTGCGGTTTGCGATACTTGAAATAAAACAAATTGAATAGGGATGCGTCGGCGAAAGAGGCTTTGATGGGCATCTGACACAATCTCATTACCTGTTTCAAGTATAAGAAGTGTGCATTTGTTGTAGGTGCGAGACCTCCCATGAACCCAAACAATAGGGGTCGCAATTCACTTGCTGCTCAATGGATCAGGGCTAAAGACAGTGTATGAAGTTGGAAAGAAAAAGAAAATCCATTGAAAAAGTACTATACGGCGAACTCTACGAGAGCGCATCTGTGACTAATCATTTCGAAATGACGTTCGTCACTTTTTCTGATTCACTGCATTCCCTTGGTTATATTTTTCAATGTAAGAGGCCTCCAAATGATGTATTTTTGCCACGCACAAGCATATACTTTGTAATAACTAACGAGGCGATGACTGCTCGATGCTTTAAAGGCAGCGGCTCGGCAGATTGACCTACCTCAGATTTTGACACAGATGGATAGATGGCCCTCCAAGTGAAGCAAAACAGCAACTCCGCGCCGAAAATGTGGACCCTGCAAGCCAGGGGGGCAGCCCAAGCGCCGCTCCCCTTCCTCCTTTCACTCCCCTAACACCTTGTTCGGACGAGTATTCTCCGCTAGACGGCGCGGGACCCCCCCAACAACTTTCCCGCATTGTGCATGCTATACAAAGTTAAAATTACAGGCAGCAGGGTCTTGTGCCAGGGCCTCCCGACTTTCCTTTGAAAATTCTCGTCCGAGCTGCCTTCTGGAAATTGAAAAAAAAACGCCCCGAAAAAGCCTTTTCACCCCTTTTGAAGCTCAGATTCGGGATCTACGGGTCGAGAAGGCCCAAAATATGCAAAAAGATGGAAATGCAAAATCTGCCGGGACGCTGCCTTTAAAGTCTCTATAATCATCACTTGCTTCGCAAACTATTTCAGTCATTCGAATGATGAGTTTCAAATCTGGTATCAAGTCTTAGTAATTCGACGAACATGAGGGTTGTAAACTCATCAGGCAGTGACCACTAGTGAAAGAAGCTGTGATTCACAATTGTTTTGTTGCAGCATTCATGAGCTATACATCTCATTGATAGCAGAAAAATGTTGTGACACTAGTTTCAATGGAACCCCGTTCGAAGTATATTGGAAAAAGATGAGAGGAACGGCTCTGATTCTTGCAGCCTGATAACAGTGCAGTGAAGTTCCGATGTTGATTCTGGATTTTTTTTTGGAGATTCATTTCGCCTCCCAAGCATCACACTTAGGATAGCATAGCAAATTTAGCCCATTCACAATCCAGCCATTTTTTTTTTATTCCTACCACTAACCAGAGTGTATATTATAACTTTAACCGCCGGGAAGTGGTTAGATCCGAAATGGTAGTGTTCTTGCTTGAACCCCATCTAAATGTCTACAACTATGCTCATAGGTGCGATGGGATCAGCCAGGTACCCTCCCAGGGAAAGGGTGTCTCGGCTGATTTTGGCCTTTGAAGGGTGTCCAAAAGTGCCAACGTTGACCGGGGGGGGGGGGAGATTTATGAAAAAAATGGTGAAAAGAAATTAAATTTTTCAAATTGATTTCTTAAAATTTTTTATATGACTAGTAAAATGTTAACAAGTCTTTGTTCTCAATTTGTATAAAATTATTTTATTTTTGTACACCATTTGTCGGTGAAAAAATTCTAGATGAATCGGAAGTGGACATGCTTTCGACAGAAAATACATGGGCGAAGGACACTGACAAATACTCAGAGGCTTGGAAGGTGCTGATGGACAGTTCACTTGGAACTTACAAATGTCGATAATGTCAATAAGAGACTTCGCGATGCTTATGAAATTATTTTTGCAAACAATTTCGCTTGTTGCTATCTATAAGGTAATAAAAAAATTTGTTGCTTGATTGTGTCCACATGAAGCACAATAAACATATGGAGTATAGCACAGCGATTAGATTACAATGATGCTAAGAGAAAGGGGCAGTCAAGGTGAAGTCACGATAATGGTGAAACTTAAGCAAGGTCGGCTTTCTAGTTAGTATAACTTGAGAAATTTGGATCATTCTCCAAATGCTCTAGCATAAATGAGCTAAAGCCAATTCTAAACTAGATTTAGAACCTGTTCTTCAAAAGCTATAGAATGATATATAGTTTGTGTGGTTTAATATTTTCGAGGTATGTAGTTTTCAGACTTTCAACGGTACCCCCCCCCCCCCTCCTTCTCTCCACGTGCAGAGCCCGATATCTTGACGATGGGGGCATCTCATGTTTTAATTTTTTCGCATCTTTTAGAGTAAGGCTTACTAATTATTACCTATACCCTCGCGAAGAAAATCCACGTTGCCGACTGAACCAAATTCAAGATTCACCTGTTTTTCAAGCGTCTTCTTTTCCCTGTTATAGCTCTTCCTCACTACACCCGATCTCTTTGCGAGGGTATAGGTAAATAAGATGTAAAAAATCATGAAGCATAAAATGTTCTTATCGCTGAGATATGAGTCCATCCACCAAATGGTGTGAAGTCGGTGTACTAAAAATTTTTATTTATTAGATGACCGTGTAATATGTTACACTAAAAACGATTCACTCGTTTTCCATCATTGTTACCCCAATAAGACCACCACAGATTTTTATGCTTCCACTTATCCCAGTTTCCAACAACACCATTCCAATTAGGTTTGCTGGTGTAAATTCCCCAATCCACACCCATCTCCTAAAATTCAGGCAAAGCACTGAAATCAATCCGTAGTTTTTAATGTTTGAATTTGAACTGGTTTCTCGATTAGAGCGTTTTGCAAATCTTATCTGTTAGGGATCATGAAGAAAATGACGATCTTCTCTCGCACTTTATGTCATCGTTTCAACCTTTCACATTTGCTGGCCAGGAAGCTAGGGCTCGTATGTATCAATTTACAAGATCTCCTCATCTGCACATTCACTATAGCTTGGAAAGAAACTTGGAACATAAACACATATTTGAAATTTAGCCTTACATGGTTTAGTCAATACAATATAATAATCAAGTAGCTAAGGAATAAACTTCTATTCGCTCCCATGGTAAAGATATAATGTGCATTTACTGGAGACTTACATCTAGTTTCTGACCCATCGCATCAATAGCCTTACGGTTTTCTTCCTTGTCATTAGGCCAGTCGAACATCTGTATATCCAAAAATACCATACCATATCTAACACCTTCCACATTCAGACGATTTATTGTCTTTTCAACCTGCAAGAGATCTTTTGCTATGTAACCTCGAATTATGTGTCAGATCGTTTGTCAAGAAGTCACGGGCTAGCAACAGCTAAGTAAGCATACCTGATCTTGCACAGGTGCACATTTTGGGAAATCCAGGCAAGGAAAAATGTAAACGCTCACGTAAAGCCCAGCTATAACAATAAGATTATTCTAGCATGTTACCAGGGAGGATTAGGTGCGTACTAATGACAGTACAGTTGTTCTAAACAAGCTTCAATGCAAGTAGGACCTTCATAAGCATTTTTTATGTTCTGCAAGCCGACCAAGTCGAATACTCCCAAGCTCCTCCATATCCTACCGATAAAGAACATATGACCGTTGCCTTTCAAGCAAGGGAAGGTGTCCATGGGTAAACTCTGGAAGCATATCATTTAGTATGACCTTTCATGTACCATAACCATACATACTGATGTTGTTTAGACTAGGTTGCTGCTCAAGGTTTCAGGAAAGGCTGACACTAATGGAAGTGATGATGCTCATTTTTCTTTCTTAAAGACGCAGCGCCATATACCTGACAATTTTTTCTTTGTGGCACCACTTTCAGTATTACAGTGAGGCCCGTAGTAAACTCTCCTTCAGGCCACTCAAACTGAAGCTGACCTCCTCCCCTCCCATGGACGAGAACAACATCGTAAACTGGACTGATGACCGCCGACCCCATGCATGTGAAGGCATATTCGAAGACCGCACAAGTGAAGCGGTCATTTCAAGGGGCTGCCCGTAAGTCAAAGGTAGTTCGTAATTTAAACTGACGATGATAGTGTGCAAGGAGAATCACAAAAAAACCGTAAGTTGCTTGCGGGTAAGTTAGTGACCCGATTGAAGAGTTGTCACGAGTTCGCAAAAGTGCACATTTCGAAAGCTTGTAGATAGAAAGGATCGATGAATAGCTGATTTCAGCAGGAGAGATATCAAAACGTTTTCCATTCACGAGTTCTAAGGGTATGTATATATCAAGTCGTTCCATAAGTTCGTAACGTTTTCAATTTCGTTCTCATATCTTTGGGAGCGGTTGATTTGCGGAAAGGTGCGTATACCAAGGGCTGATTGCTCTCTTTAAAATATGTCTACTGATTCTGGTGGAAAGCTGATTTACTTGGGCCTTATAGCTTCCAAAGATGGAAATCTTGAAAGGCAAAAAGGAACAATTGCGCATTTTTCCTTATAAGAAGAAGCATTTTTGCACAGATTTTTTTGCCGATTAGGGAACAGGGCGCTCGCACATCGATATGAGACAAAAAAGGATTGGATTGCTACAAAAGATCAGCGACTGAGTAGGGTGTCCCTGAACAAGATTTTTCGGGGAGGGGCAGGGCGCCTGCACTGAAAATTGCTGTACAAGTAGTCGATGGTCAACCATAACGTAAGCAATCCAACTGCACCGTCTAAACCAGGTTCTATCGCAGAAAAAAGCCTACAAACAGATCTAGTGAGTTTTTCTGCGTGACGAAACATGGCCTCATGCGGCAAAAGTCGTCGAAATTGTTCTACACGACTCGTTTGGAAGGTACTTCAGTACTCAGCGTTCTCTCCAAATCTCGCTCTATCAGATATCATTTGTTCCGCTCTCTAGTACACCTCATGAATGGTGCTTGTCTCGAGGTAAGTAGTTGAGCGCTGGTTTGATGGCTTTCTTGGGAGCCGGCGCGCTGCCGTTTGAGAAATTGAGATTGAGAAGCTAACAAAAATGTGTCAGAAAGTCATGCACTACAACGAGGTATATAATTTTGACTAGATTTTACTGTAAAGTGATGATTTTGGTTTATAAAAACGCTACGAACTTATGGAACGACCTAATAGAATGTTTTACATTTATTTTATTCTGTTTACTACGCAAAACATAGCGGATTATCGATTTTTTGGTATTGGGCCTTATCAGAGAATCCCGATGACCTAGCGACGTCACAAGCAGGCCTGGCGCTGTCTCTTGAAACACGCGATGTACCCATTCGAAAACTGCACAAGTTCATTTTTCTCCGACAACACATACGGGCACTTTGTCTACAGAGCGGTCCTCACCAAGATAGATGGTACTATCGATACTGCGCTGACGCGCCGTAGGTTCTGCATGGGCTCTTCTCAGTCGAGTCGATGGGTAGTTTACTATGGGCCTGATTGTTTTTTCAGCAAGAACAGGACTTAATTCACTTTGTATGTTTTGAGAGAAATATGTTTTTACTTGTACACTATCAAATCCCATGATGGCAGCAGAAATGCCGAATAAAGCTGTCAAAGCGATGCATAAGAAATGTATGAATTTTAGAAGTAAAGCTAACAAACCAGAGAAAATAAACTTACAACATATCCAACTATGTTTCACATCTAAAGTCTTGACCTTTGCTGTAAGTGTTTATAAATTACAGAACATTAAGCAGTTACTATTAGGCCTTTTAGGGCAAGCAGGCACCAACATCGCAAATGAGAGCAAGAAATTTTTTCATCTTCGAGCAGATCAGTTGCAATGAATGGTTTATAAAAGTAACAAAAAACAGGACTGAAGACTCCTACAGACAAATGAATGTTGACGGACTATGTTGAAATGCTTAAATTCCTGCGGAACCAAGACATGATAGCGATTTGCATCAACAACGTACTCCGATCAATCAGACATTTCTTCAGTAAAGCCATTTTTTTGAGTATGGGCATCTGCCAACTGCTAGCAGGAAACCTATATGATTGTAGGATTGCTACCTAAGCACTGAAATAAACTTATGGACTTCTCATTTAGGAAGTGATGGAAAGGCCTTAGCTAACTCACGGCTTTTACAAGCAGTCACGTATGATTAAGAACTCTCTCTAAACTCCGGTTTAGACGATAATCTTTCGGTAACTCTCAGAGTCTTCGAGAGTAAATTGGTCATGATAAATATTTCGGCCACAGCCATTTGAACTACTGTATAAGCAATGAACTTTGTTTAAAACTTCGAAGTAGTTCTTAGAGAAGAAATGTAAGTATCCAATTTTTAGCTGGTCTCACGGCCACAAGTACGTTGTAAACTCCTTCAGAGAGGAGCACGGCGAGCTAATGTCAAACAATTCTGCCAAATAGATGCGAAGACCAAGAAATAATGTAGCGCTGTTGGTTGATTCGACTTTACGTGCTGGTTTGTGTCAAACGAAAAAACCGGGATTCATTTGCGCTCATAAAGCTCGATTTATGGTGGTAGCTCTGTCAAAGCAATTTACGTAAAAAGATGAATTACAAAAACATTCACCAGAAAGGGTACTAGAGATTAAACTTTGGAGTAAGTTTGTGACTGTTCGCTCCATTGACATTTCGGCTTGTGTAACCGTATTACTTCTTCTGCAATCGCTCGCCTTTGATTCCGGACGAGACTTTTTGAATAGTGATGTCGAGCGTGCGCAAGAAATGCTATATTTTTGCATTCGCTGACATTTGCAGAATACCAGTGCGTTGAGAATTGCGTATTCTCCAACTTTCTCATATTAATTTTTGCAGTGATTAGAAAGCCAAATCAAAATCTTTTGTTCATTATCACTTCAAGGTAAAGGGTACCGCATGAGAAGGCGCAGAAGCAGTATTAGTTAAACTCGCGCGAACGCGACGCAGCCAATATGCTCCAGAGTTTGCCAACCGATTAGGAGAGTTTCTGTAGCAGATGTGTCTAATGACTCTTTGCACGCCGTTGAGGAAATGAGCAGAAATCTCGTTCGTGAGCAGGTTCGAACAGAATTATCCGAGTACGTTGGTGTCTGCGATCCTTTAAACACCCAACTACCATACATATATTTTTGAACGACCTCTGTCCTGTGATTTATATGTACGTTTTTGTTAACTACATTCAATTCCTGTAACTGCGGACAACAGGTTCTGCACATTAGCGACGCATCACACACTCGCGCTTCATAAGAACTTCCAACTAAGGCGTTTAGTTCAAATTTTTTTCAATTTAGTGATTGCGTTGCCGAGATTAGGAGACCGAATTGCGTGTGAAAAATAGCTACGCCTGCAATGCCGTCCACCTGCAAACGCAAAATGCCGGCATCACAAGCGCAGCAGTATGTCCACGCGCAAATGTTGTTCGCATCACAAGTGCACTATATATTATAGTTAGCACCGAATATTCGTGTCCGAATGATTTGTTCGAAATATTCGACTGTTCGAATATTTGAATAGTCGAATATTCGAGAAAGCCCATTTATTCGATTCTTCGAATAATCGAATAAATGGGACAGGCCTGCATTCGAATAATTCGTTCATTCGAAGATTAAAAAATGAGTTATTCGAATTCATTCATTCGAGGAGTTTCAAAAGACAGTTATTCGAATATTCGATTATTCGAGCCACCTTGAAGGACATTTATTTGAATATTTGAATATTACCATTCATTCAAATATTCGATGTAAAAAGGAAACTTTAGCTTTTTTACATTGGGTGCAAGTATGTCCCCGATCGGTCAATCATACAATGAATATGGTAGTAGCTAGCAAGCTTCCCTTTTTGAGGCAATTGCTCATACCAGACATAGTGAGGACAAGTCTTATGCATAACTCGTTTGAAGTGGTGAACTATCTTCAGGAAATCGCGTCTGCAGAAGTTGAGATGCGAAATCATGCGCAATACCTTCAGATTCTAAATTGGGTGAAGAAACAAAGCCGTCATTAGGCGCCGCTTTAGCGGACCGCTGGTCTTCAAACAGCTTGCATAAGCATGTAAGACCAAAGTCCTTTAAGGCAGCCCGTATTAGCCACATTCATTCCTTCAACCCGAGATCTCTACGTGCCTTGCCAAATCACTGCCCGCCTGACAAACTACTTGACGGATACGTCAACGCAGCGTAAGGCCAGACAAGGCGGTCGCGAGGACCTGAGCCGTTTAACTTGTGGCGGCAGCCTGTATGTCATTCACCATAATCAAACGGCTGCCTTTATAGTCAGGAAGCGTAAAAAAAACTAGAGTTAAGATGTTGCGAAGAGAAATAATACTTTGTGTGGGCGTGTAGGTTGAACTATAATTATTTTGAACCTGAATGAACGATGTGGAAGATCCCTTACAACAAAAATACAAATCTGAAAAATAGAGCTAAAACAACTTTGTGAAAATTTAATCTCACAACAGAAACCGTGAAAGTCAGAGATTGATAATTTCCGACAAGTATTAGATTAGCAGCTATATACAGATAATTTCATGACTTTTCTTTTCTGGATTTAGATGCGCACAAAAGTATTATGCAGACAACAGTGCGTCGCCTCTGCTGCAGAGGTTCTGATTCTATTACTGTGGGCCTTCCTCGTGCTTTCCCAGTGCAGGGAATACTTTCCGAACGAATTATACATCTTCTTATAGAGTAACGCATGATAAGCTAATTTCGAATCTGCATTCTATATCTGCAAAGCGCTTCTGGGAGGGTTATCGGGATTTTTTAAGAATCTAGACTCGCGCCTACAATAAATTCAGTCGTTTTGTGTGAGTTCTAATGGAGTCATGATTACTGCCAGGACGCTTTATGCAATTGTCTTCAGTCTTGTAAACTCATGCTAATCATTACACCTTTCAAGCGCCAAAGAGGACTCACTGTTTTTACCTTAACCAAGCCCTTGAGTTTATACTACAATTCCCATGACTCTGCTCTCATAAGAGCTTTGCAAGTATCGAAAACAGATTTGGAATCGGCGTTCCATGCTCTATGAAACAGTATCCATTTCAAATGAAA